GGTGAATTTCCTGTCGTACAAATACTGCCTGTGGTATCTCACGAAATTCACTAACACCAGTAATTATTTCCTTGTGACGCAATAATACCTTTTCATTTTTCCACAAAGACAGATCTCAGAATTGAAAACTGAAAACAAGCCAAAAATTCATATTTTGGAGTACAGGTTTGCAAGGCATGCTTGTCATGAGAAAGCATTCCAAGACCTGCCGAGATTTCTTTGACTGTGATTGACTGTGACAAGAGGATCGATATTCTGTGGGAAGTTTCAGTCGGCTTCAAAGAGGCAACACCCAATTGGCAGGGGATGATGCATATCTTGAATCAGGGGAGCCAGCACCGTGGGCAGACGTCAGTCAATGATCAATATGTACTCTTGAGACAAATCATGCATTGTGTCTACATTAGACTTTGTTTGCAACATTGCCATGAAGCACAAAATTCCCACCAGTGTAACTTTTGACCAGCCCTTGTATTGGAAGGCTGCCGAAATAATCATTGATGCGCCACAAAGTATAGGAAATCCCATGGAAGGGACTGGTCTCAAAAAGATAATCGAAAATACAGTTGTGCACATAATGACAGGGAAAGCTGTCAAGAGTGTTTTTTGGGGCCATCTTCTTGTTGACAAGTGCCAACATAACCAGCTTATAACGGAAATGGTCAAAAAACGATCCCGAGATTCAGACACTGCTGGATCAAGCCGAGAAATTGTACTCCTCCCTTCTTAGCGGAGAGTCAACACTAGATGATGCTGCTTGTCTTGAGGCTTTGATTCAACTCGAGACAGTAATGGGGAAGAATAAAACTGAACTTGCTCAGACCTCAAAGATCAGCTAGTTGTGGCTAAATTATCAGCGTTTGGTTGGCATGGCAAGAATGGTGATCAGAGCAGATCGTACTGGGTCTTGGTTGATGCATTTGCAGGCAGTGTCTAATTGCATAACAGTCTTTGCTGCAGCTGGACACTTCAATTACCTGCGATCTGCTCATTATTACATTATTATTATTATTATTAAAATGAGCAACCTGGAGGAAAAGCACCCAGATGTTTATCGAAAGTTCCTTGCTGGTTTTTACGTTGTTCATAGGAGTAATCAGTGCTGGGCAGGGCTTAATAGTGATCTTGTAATTGAACAAACATTGATGAGGTCTTTAAAGAGCACTGGTGGTCTAACTGGACATGCAAAACCCTTTAGACCTTGGAGTACAACTGTGCGATGCAGGATTTCACAGACCTGACCTAAACTACAAGTCTGCAATACAAAAGTTCAACTGAGGCACGCTTCAAAAAAGATGCATCTGATCTCGAGAAAATTCGAATAAAGCTTGCAGCCTGCTCACCTTTACACCTGGGCAGATGTGATTGTACACGTCTTTGAATCGGTTGGGAACAAAATCATTGAAGATATAATTGGAAAGTCGGCATTTACTTACAAATTCAAGCCGAAAGACATAGCCCAAACCTTGGGAATATGTCTGCTGTGAAGATTGCTCCTGATCGTACCATTGATCCTGCCCTTCTGACCCAGCCTTTCCTTGTGGTGTCAAGGTCGTAGATCTTTCGCTTGAAGAGGTTTTGACATATGAACTCTTTGAGGCTGTGATGAACTTTATTCTTGAAATAGATTGGTACATGCTTGATGGTGGCTCTTTGCTCCACCATTTACCTTGAAAGAAAGGCGACTCATATAACACCGAGTATTTTGGTGACTACACTGTGAGACATTATGGACTAGCAACAGCGGTGTTCGATGGCTATGGTAAAGGTCCTCCCATGAAAGACAATACACATCAAGGAAAAAGAAAAAAGCCTGCACCCTATTGTTAGTTTCACTGCAGAAACACAGTTTTCAGGCAAAGAGGGGGACTGTTTATCTTGAGACGAAATCAAAGGAGACATGATTGCGCTCATTAGTACAGCACTAATTGAAAGGGGATGCAGACGTTGATATCATTAAGGCAACTATTGAAAAATCCCGTCATTGCACCACAACGTTGGTCGTTGAGGATACATATTTGCTGATCTTTCTCCTTCATTACTCTAGAACAGACAATGAGATCATCTACTTCTGTTCTGATGCAAATAAGCAGTCAAAAGAACACAAAGTGTATAACATTAACCTGTTGAAAGAAACTTTGTACATGCTTACTCAGTCTGTAATTCAACTTCAAGTATTTTCTACATCGTCAGCCTTCTGGAAATTAGTGAAATCTGATCTTGTCATGAAGTCTTGTGCTAGTGCATTCATCCTTCAAAACGAATTATACGAGGACATATCAGATCTTGGCAAAGACATAATGGTTAATCTCGTTATTGCCAAATACAACGTTACACTAACATCACTGCACCACATCATCTTTCACCAAGAAAGTGGCAACTGCTGACTTATTTTTCACTCCTGAACGGCTTCCCCCAACATCACCTGCAACAAGATTCAATAGCCAGTGTTGTGTACTTTCAAATCATGGTATGGAAGGGGATGGCAAATGAAATGAATCCAACCGAATGGAGATGGAAATGATCAGTTAATTCCAATTATGACCCCTAACAAATGCTGAAAATTATTCATTGCATTGTTTGGTGGGATGCAAATTCTCTCAATGCAGCTGTAGACGCCATGAACTCCCCTGCACTGCTGTATGTGGTCCTTGTCAAACTGAAAATTGTGACAACCCAAACAACGCTCAAGGCGTTGACACTGAAGAAGAGGATGACACTCAAAACTGAAAACTCTGAAACTTATTCCATGGACAAAGGTGTTTATGCAATAGGTGATAGTAGACAGCTGCAGGTAATGAATTCAATTCCATAATGATTCATTAGCTCTGTGATATCCAAAGTGTTCTTAATGTGTTACTTGCCCCACAAAACCTGGGGATATACATCAAGATTATCAAATTTGAGTCAATAGTTATGGACTTGCGGTCATTTGCAGGTGTTGGTAGCCATTTTTGACGCCATACTGGATTTGTGTGTTACAAAATATGCCAAAATCATTTTGAATGATCTTAATGTGTTCTTTGACTGCGAAAACCTAGGGATAGACACCAAGATCATCAAATTTGACTTTATAGTTACAGAGTTATAATCATTATGAAGTTTGAAAAAAAAACACTTTTATGGGGGTCCTATTTTGGTAAACTTTTAGTATGTTAAAAGTACACTAACAGAAACACTAACAATAACCAGTTGTATCAAACCACTGTCACCAATGTGACGTAAAATGCAGTGACGGGCCTTTGTAAAGAGGATGCCAATTTTGGTAGTCGAATAAACCAATTTTCACCCAAGCTCTACCAATTTAAAGTAGGAGACTCGAGTCAATGATGTCATATTTATTTTTTTAGACAACAACACTGAGCTGAGCACATTCCAAGTCATTTCACAATCACCTTTAAACATTGTCTGAGACATACCATTATGCCACAGGGGGAGACAGAATATATGTGTCTGACAACACAATACAGTGACTGTATCAGCTGTATAAAATTAAAATGTACAATGGGTTGTTGCAAAGTATCCAAACATGTGTGACTTTCATTCAATCAGCCAGGGCTCTGTACTTTTCAAAACAATTTATGTCACAATATCATTAATTCAGTCCACCGGTTTAATGGGGTATTTATTAAATATTGGTTTGTAGTATTAAAAGGCAATTGTTTAAGACAGTAAAATATAATTGTGATAAACAATGACTACTCTATATACGGAAAAGATCATTTTTAGTGTATGTTTTTCATAACTAGGGCAAGTTAAATGTATTTTCTATCATTAAACACTTAAAACAGATGTTGACTGCCACAGCAGGGGAGCATACAGAATTGTTTTCAGACAGAAGCAGATATGTGTTTGTTGTCCTCCTGTAAATAATATATGATCTGACCAGATTAACTGAAATGACTCGTGCCACTTAACAATCGAGTAACTTTTTTTTTTGCGGGGGGGAGGATATGCTGTTCCTGTACATTAGCATACGTATTACGTTTACATTGCAAAACAGAATAGGCCTTCGAATGGAGCAGTGAGGGAAAAGATAAGTTATTTTGAACCAACATAATATTATGTATTCTATTTACCGTAATTAGATTGACAATAAAGGTCAACTAAAAGGACCTTTGCAAAGCTGGTCATTTAAATATACTTCATAGTACCAACAGTGTGTCGAGTGAATTCCATTAAACGTGTCTTATTTACTTGAAGATTGCCAAATACATTTTGAAATGTTATATGAAATCCCGAGTTTGACATAAAATGTTTGAATGACCCTGTTTGAAATACTCATATTCCATATAATGAGTAATTCTAAAACGCATTGCAACAAGTTGGTTGAGTAAATACGTTGTCCATTTAAGCAATATATCTTGCTATCAATTTAAATAAACCAGAAAAAGACGTCATAGTTGGGGTTGAAATAGTATTGCTCGTACAGCTGTTCAAATATGTGTATTTGTACAACATTGTATGTTTATATTGTATGTTTATATGTAATTATAATTATATTTGTTTCCAAATTCAACCCTATCTCATGACGCCTCTTCAAAACATTCTATATTCTCAAATTATTCCTTGAGTGATGTAGCAGAATTGTTTTTCATGATTACGTAGTATATATTTAACCACATACGCTAGGGACTGCATTTCAAACATTACATAGATTATTGTCATGCGCTGATGACACCATGTTCCGGATATGATATGTGGAATAAAAAAAAAATATACCACCTATCTCGTTCAAAAATATAACTAATGGTTACTCCGACAACTCGGGTTCGATCTTCCAGATAATTATAATAGAGAATATATCATGTGATATGTACATGTCCGTCAAGCTTAGTATAGTCAACACCCTCCCAAAAACCGTTAGAACAAACTAGTGTTTATTAAATGAGAAGCACATATGGATGTTCCTCCATTGGACGATAAATTAAAATGCGTCACTGTTTTGAGAAATTCTACTAGATAAATTAATGCGTTTTGCTATAGAGCGACACGTTGCTGTTATCCACCGAGGCAGTTATCTACTGAAAAAAGACATCTACATTTGAGAGTTCAGTGCAGTCAGGTAATTATTTGTCTCATATACGTTTTTAATAGGAGATCGTTCGTCCGATAGGTTGAGTTGAGTAGATGGACATACGTCTGGTAATCAGTACGTTATATATGCTGTGTAGAAACCCAGTTTTTGTTCTTGAATGAAACACACAATACAGCAACTTCAATTTAATTGTTAATTCAGTGATACTTTCTCGATCAAATCAAGGTTAATATACGTATTCATGTCAACTTTAATTTGCAAATAGTATTTTGTGTATCAACATTGCATAGCAAAGATATCTAAAAAAACATGGCTATTCAATCCCGTGTTGGCGTAGTTGGCTTGTTCTATTATTTTAAGTCTTTACTTTTAAAGCACAGATGTGGCACCGTGAACATTCTTATGATTCAGCGTTTGGGACAAACCACCATTAGACGTACATCAACTAAAATGTGTTTATCAAATTACAATTTATTTTTCCGTTTAATTTTCTTGATTGTCAATATCTTGACATTTCGTAGTACTGTCATTTTATCAATAACGTTTACACAATTAATCTGGTAAAATACATCGTTGGGATGATAATAGGAAGCAAATTACCGGACAAAATAAAATTATTTGGGTTTATCTTCAGACAGAACCAGACAGAAAAAACAGCGCAGTAATTAATGTCGTGCAATTTGAAATTGTTTCACAAAATAGAAATTCACATTATACAAGAATGTTATAATCACGTCAGTGAAAATTGTCTTTTTCATGTTTGGTACAGCATACATGCATATACGACCGGGGAATGGTGACAATCGCGAATATGTATGACTTATTGAATCTATTAAAGGCTTACAAATTAAATACACCGAGAAGTTTGTTTTATCGCTGTTAAATGTGTCCAAGACAACTGTTAGATTAAACTTGTACTTTTTAAATTTTTCGTTTAAATCTAGCCGCTCACCATTACGCTGCATATGCTGGTTTTAAATTTCACTTCCTATTATACACAGCATATTATGAGCCTACAATATACTATAATCACTGCAAAAAATACAATTATATTTGGCTTAGTGGAACCAACCAGAACCGGATATCGCCACGATTATGGGGATTCAACGTTTTATACTTTCTCGTTTGCTAATGAAAATTCGGCAAAGAGATGTTTGCAGTTATTGACTGTTCATATTATGAACAAGTGTTGTAACTTATTACTGGAATCACGTTGTACTTGGGTAATTGTCGTGTTTTCGACGTAAATTTGCTATGTGGTAGAATACATTTTTTTCAGTAATGGTTTTGTGAGTATATAATTTCCATACGTTTTATTGACGCTATATATATACTACAGTGTTTGGGCATTAGATGAGCTCCATCCGAAACGAGACAAGTCCATGTTGCCACGTCACCAACCTTTTAGAAATAAAAATAAAGCGTTCGTATCGTAGGCTTTGGCTATTTTATCAGGTTTTCGTCCATAACAGGTACACATATTTTTAGTCTGAGCGCCCGTTCATGAATATATAAAAATATTCATGAGAATTTGGAGTTCCGTTCAATTTGCACTGTTAATAATTTAATCGAAACGTATTTTGGGCTATAATACAGTTATCACCAACTATAGACCTGTTCATAATAATAATACTGAGTGAATAATTTTTTTCTGCCGTCTTGATAAAATTTACACTTATACAATATAAGCAAGGTAATGCATCATCAACCCTTGCAGTCACTGACATAAACACGTGATTACGAAGTGTCATGCTGCAACATCTAGCGATAATGTGAAGTTCTGAAAGTTCAAGTAGTGAAAGTTAGCATTTGCAATGATCCTTCAGCAAGATCAACTGTGTCTGTTCTTATTTGTTTATCAGAGAATCATAACAAAGGCCACAAAGGAGTTCAATCCAATGAAATACCGAGTAATGCTCAATAAATCCTCTATCCATCTATATAAGTATATAAGTCAGTGAACGCACCCAAAACTATTGTTGTTTTGTTCTAGTATTGTTGAAGTCAGATGCATAGCATCATCAATCACTCACACTTCTGTCACACGAGCATACTATCCAAGTATACTACTACTACCAGTATACATAATAAATTATTGTACTGCTACTAACACATCGTTTCAGCTTTTCCATAGATAAATACGTCTCGGAGATCAGAGTCAAATATGATGCTGTGTTTGATGGTAATTATTTCAATGGCCAGCTTCACACTTGCTGTTCCAAAAGAGGTAAGTTTAAATCATTAAACACTAAACTACATGTATTGCTTGGATTACTGAGCGTTTTAATCTAATACTTGCACTGCAATTATTCTAATATTATTTTGAGGAACTATGATGGAGCATTTTCACTTCTACTCACACTAAAATTGAAATCTGGCTGGGCCATGTTACACAAATAGAGCTATTGTTGTTGTACCCACATTTTGAATTCAGAATTTAGAGAATCACTTTCGTTGTCTTTGTGTCTAATCATCTTGCTGCGTATGCGTTTTTAGTGCCATAAATAAATTTGTTACACATAAAATATAAGAAATATATGTTGATATGTTAAATTTAAAATATAGAAAAAAATAATGTCAGTTTATTCTTCTTTCAAATCTACAAACCTGAACATAGCAGATTTTAAAATAGCAAATTTGAACACAGATCTTTAGTGGCGCTGTCCTGGACACAATGGACACCCCTTGTGTAAGGGATACAATTGTATGGGTCCATAACCCAGTCCGTTGGGCGAGATTACCCTTCGTTACCGATATGACATATGACGGTTCATATAACAATAGGCTATATTCAATGTTTCATGCCTACTTGAAATATTGCAGTCGTGTTCTGTTTATTGTTTATTTAAACATTGTTTATTTCAATTCGTCTTTTTTCTATTTTGATGTGTTGGCATTAGTTGTCGATATTTTTGCTTCCATTGAGGTACATTGATACATAATTGATTCATAATGAGTTTCTTCATCTAAAGCATCACAAAAACACTGTTGCACACAAATCAATACAATGTTTACAGCGTATGCCATGTATGTCTTTTATTATTCACTATTACTATATTCTATTATTTTATGTTTTCTAGAAATTGGTTGTAAAGCGAACAGGTAAGTATAATTCCTAAATATTGAATTGTTCAGCAATGGTTCATATTAATTAACAATAAAAGGATCATCACAAGCTTTAGTGAATATCTACATTGTTTGATGATATATTTAACATGGCCCCATTGTCACCAATTATCACATTGGAACTCCCTCACAGTTTCATTAAAAAGTTCACATAATAGAATTTATTATTTATAATAGAATTAATCAATTTAAAAAAGATTTAAAGACCCATCGCATAAGTAGTTACCTGGCATATCCATTTTTCTTGACTATTATTAATATTTTAGTTACTTTATTTTCCTTGTATTATATTTGCTAACGAGGGTATATTTCTTAGTTCCTTGGAAGATTTTGTTTATTGTTCTTTTCCCCTACCAATTCATTATTTATATTTTCTATTTTTGTTTGAATAGCTGTTTGATTCGTTTAATTGTTTCATAACAGCTTAAGTAATTATTATATCAACTGGTTACTTGGTTATTTTTTTTGGATAAATAGTTGTTGATGAATTGTATTACATATATATATATAGTTTTACTTGGTTATTTTTTTTGGATAAATAGTTGTTGATGAATTGTATTACATATATATAGTTTTCTAGTACAGATTTAGAAATATAAATAGTTTCTGTCTGTCAATGACCTTTACACATAAGTTAACTAGAATGGCAGGGCTGTGGACTAGACTAGTTCAGTAGAACTATTTTCACAGACCTCATTTTTTTTACATTTTTTTACTATCTACTTAACTACTTGTATTTTTTGCTGATGAAAATAAACATATAATGACTAGTGATATAATGACATGTAATGCACCCCTCAAATGCGACATGTCCTTATAATTGAATAGTGTCCATAACAAATAGTGTTCACTCATTCAGAATATAGCTAATCATAATTTCTCATTTATGGATGACCACATATGAAAATGAGCAGCACTTCTATGTACCACGCTGAATATTGGTCACTAGGGGACGGTCTTTTATAAAGGATGTAAGAATCTAGCAATGACGATGTATATAATTCATTCACTAATTAAAATATGCATGTTTTTGGACAGGATGTGGTGGGAGCTTTTACATCAATGAAGGCGAGCAAAAGATAATTACTAGTCCTAATTATCCATCTAATTATGACAATAATCTTAACTGCCCTTGGATTGTCTCAACCAGCCCTGGAAATACTCTCGATGTGAATGCTGTAGATTTTAATATAGAAAACTTAGTGGATATGTTGATAATCCATGATGGGACTGAAGCTGTTCAATGGACTGGCAATTCTCTACCACCAAGCTACACATCAGTTTCCAACGAGTTAATATTCATATTCAGAACTGATTCTATGAATAATTACAAGGGATTTAAGTTAATTATTACAGGTAATATAAAAAAGGCAAAATTTACATTTCTTCTTTGTAATTCAAAGAAGTGTCAATTAGCTTGTGTTTCACGATAACTGTAGTCATTTGTAAAGATTATGTTATTGACTGACAAAATTATGTGAATAATTAATGATATTTCATTTCACTTGATACTGGACAACACTGAATATAGATAGACAATTATAACGTCGTGAAATACGAGTGTCCCTTTTCTGGCATTGATCTATCTGAGCCAAGGGTCACATATCAAGGATATATGTAATTTTTGTTGCATATCCCACTTTTGTGGCTATTTTAAAAAATTAGACGATCTGACGGTGTAAACTCTGAAAGTATTCGGGCACCACATATGTTGACATTGAATATATGAAATGAATATAACCATAATGTGAAGTAACACTCGGATGATAACTAGATAAACCATGAAATTTGCTGATTTTACTTGTCTACAGGCCGTGGTGGTTTTAGGTATTTTACTTGTATTTGAAATAGATCATGGGAATAGTATATTAGATTATGTTATTTAATGGTAGCTGTTGCTATGTTTTGATTTTTGATTTGAAAATAAGGCATGGAATAGTTTAGACATACCAGAGATTTGGGAAGATATATATTTCTAGATAGACCATAATACTTGTATGTGACATAGTCCCGTTTTGTATTGACTGATAAAATATTTATTAAGATGAACCATGTAATTTCCAAATGTATTATATCATTTGAAGATACACCTTAAAATGTGAAGGCCTTGTTTATATTCATCTACAATTATTTATATTATTTATCATATAGTGTCAGGCGGAAGTGAGAAAGGAGACCCTCATATGACGACATTTGATGGACGTCGATACAGTTTTCAAGGTCAATGCTGGTATACATTTTTCAAAGACTGCAGTGCACACCCCGATTTTGAAGTGATTAGTAAGTTCGGGCCAAGAGATGATATCAAGAATAAAACAAGAACGGTTTCTTTCAAAGTTACTGTCGGAGACCAGTATGTTATTGTTAATGGTCGCGATGTAGCTACAGTAAGTTATATCATATAATTAAGCATTCAATTAGTCTGCTAAATCTGTTTAAACTGTTTAAATAGAATAGTGCTGAGAGTATATACGATATTATATATTTCAGGGAAGCAAGAATAATGGTCACGTGTACTCACCTTTCATACATGTACAAGAAAATAATGACCTGATTACACTGGCGTTCACTTCCAAATATACAACTTTCACTCTGGAGTGGACACCGAGAAAGCATATGTTAAAAGCATCATTCTCTGGCACTGATTACAATGGCAAGCTCTGTGGTTTGATGGGTAATGCTGATGGTGATACACGTAATGATCTTCAGACGCCCGATGGTTTTGAAGTAAAGGACGTTACTGCGTTCGGTGAAAGCTGGAAAGTGAAGGGTGAAGTGTAAGTTTGTTATTTCTTTATTTTCTGCTTCGAAAAGTAGTCATACAGTCACTCATTTAAATAACCGAATCTTAAAAACGTGATGTATGGTTATTGTTATTTATACTGTCGTGAATGTATGTTACATATTTTGTGTAATATTTAGACTATTAGGATAAAATTGCGATGGTGATTATAAGGTGATACTTTTGTACTCAACTCCTCACAATTTACTAAAAATATAATAGTAATGTGTATTTCTGCAAAACTGTGCACATGTGTGTTGATATATTTTTGAGTTTTTAGTTACAGACAGCCAATTAACTCAAGATAAAACGGTTACTTGAAATGCAGTAAACCGCACTTTTTTTAGAAGTATACACATTGTTATATTTATATGCTCAGTAAACAAAATCATGTTTAGTTAAAAACAGGTGAAAAAGCTGTCATTATTTGTATAATATGATGCTCAAATTACAGTGCAAAGAAGAGAGCCTTGCCTTTTTGTTTTATAGAATTTTTTGTTCAGTTTAAAATCCTGAAGATATTACATATTTGACAATTCTACTTTGAAAATGACCGAGTACAAAAATAAGTTTAATTTAATTTGCAACATATTTAAAGAAATGTCATTTTTTGTTTCATTACAGGTGTGATTAAGAGTCTTCTAATAACAAATGCTGGACACAGGTTTAGATTTTTCAACGCATGTAATTTGAATTATTATGCTGTTGTAATTTGGCAATTCACAGGTATCGATTTCCGAGAATGCAATGGAACGGTGATAGTGGAATACGGGTTATATATAATCAAGCTTCAATTTAATGTTCAGCATAAAATAAATGGGAAATAAATGGTGAAAGATTGGAAACCAGTGTCGCTTTTTTTGTTACTAAATATGAGAACGGATTTGATAAATGATGCAACAAACACGTTGTATGTAGTATGGGTCTGATATCGACCACGTTATAACTGATAATATTATATTGTATGTACAAGGTCATGTCGGTATTGACTTCCATCAAATATTCCCATTCGGGGATATATAGTTTACCAACACCAGAAAGCGATCGTAAATTATATAGTGACCACGGGGAAGGGTGATACTACCCTCATATTACGTGTCAGTGTTCGCTCAGAAAATACTGAAGGAATTGGGAAATGTCTGTAATTATGTAAACTCGAATTCAATACTTAATGTCTGTCTGATAATTAAGGGGTGATAAAACACCTGTTCAAAACGTTCGTCATCTACTACACAAGCCCAAAAGATACATTTCTTGACAATCTGGAGTGAAAACCAGTTATAGATTCCAGATCGGTCGATGACATAATGATGTATGGATAATGACCGTTCTAGCGTAACTGGTATCACGCTTAACTGTACTCTACACTGTGTACAATTCTCATAAGCGAAGCCATCTTTCTGTTCAATACAGAGTATTGTGTTCGTGTACATAAAATGCGAGAAACAAATGTAAGCAATAACGCTATGTTTATATTTAATAGAGCGTCATCATCCCAAACGAATATCATGTTCTTTAAAGTTTTGTATACTACTTGCACAGTGCACAGTCTACTCAATGGATCAAATAACACATTCACCCAGAAATTCGGTGGTATTTGTTTAAGTATCTTAATTTTGCCAATAGTCACGATTTAAAAATATTATTTTACCCAGTTTTGCAGATTTTGAAATTTATGCCTATTTAAGAGGTTGAGGTTAAGGTTAAGGATGCCCAATGTGTTGGTCATTCTACAAGTATTAGCAAAGTGAACGTCTGAATGAAGAATACTCGGTTCACAAATAAACAAATTCGGATCAAGATGCCGTCACCCTAATCGCTAGACGGTGTTGAGGGATTATTCTTGCAGCCAGAAATATAATGATTTATGACATATCTCACAACGTTGACTTTGTGAATTTTCTGAGCTCGCCAATATGATTTTGTGTGAATATATGGGGAAAGAAGTGGAATATGATATAAATTACCATGTGTACGTAGTCATTGACGAAGTCATTAAATTTGAATCTTAAGTGTTTTCTTTTGCCTGAACAGAGTAAACGCAAAGGAAGTATTTGCCAAAATAAACAATACTACTTAAATCGTGTTACATATCGGATTGATAAAAAAAAGTGGCGGCCTTTCGATAAAATGTTCAGCTGCATAATCTGAATGTATGAATTAGTGTAAGCTGAGTGACACTGGCAAAGTGATACTGGTGATTATTTAAGTGCGCCTCGGATACTACATCACTTTTAAGATGTACTGTCACGTGCTATGATCACGTTGGGAAGACGCAAGTGTAGCTCGACGAGCCCCCAGTCAGATTTAACAAACCCGAGTTACGTTTATACGAGGATTGAACGTACTCATTTATTAAAGTTCATTAGTATATATATATATATATAGTACATCAAACAATAATAAGACATTCAAAAATTAATCGCATGCCAAGAAGAAAATGTACTCTCAAGTGAACACGCGTGTATCGCATTCAATATTCATGAAACAAATAATGTCAGTGTGGTCAGTGTGTAAACAAATATTTGATTTTTACATTTGGGGATTAATTAATATAGTACCAACAAGACGGTTGGAAAGGCTGTAAACTGTCGATTTGTTGTTCACATAAAGAGACCAACATGTGGGACATATGCCCTAAAATGTTTCTAACAATATTTCGTGTGCAAATCTCGGTTTTGTTAGTCGTTTAGGTATCAGTCAGCAGTATGTCAAAAATCCATATTGTTAAGATAGGTCTTCATAGACATTTCGTCATTCAACATAAACATTATAAACATGTTTAATAATTGTATATATAAACAAGTACTTCAAAATAAATTATGTATTATTTTGTGTCATCAACAAAATCGGAGATACACCATTGCCTAAGCAAATTGTGTTTATCTTTGGACAATTTTATTATCGGTGGTGACATTTTTTATCAATTCAGTGACTATTGTCAATAGCGTATAGGGAATATATTTACAAATTGGGCATTCACTTGTATTGTTACTTGAGTAGCCTACAGCTTGCATAAATTTACCTGTAGATATAGCCCCTTTAAGTAGACGCAATTGTATGTCACCTTAATTTTTAAGAAGTGTCGTAAATACATTTAAAATTTGGCTTAATGTCCGTGGATATACCAAGAATATCTCTCCATACGAAATCAAGTCTACTGTTGTTAGTATCAGTGAATTAATTAGAAGATTGTAAATAACTTTGTTTTCAAACTTATGTAAACATTCAAACTTCTCATCATTATCAGAGCTGATATACAGTGTATAATTGTAGCGAGTGGTGTCAGAAAATGGAGCTCATCTGTTTTTTTCATGAAAGTAGTCCAGAAAGGGCAAGTCCGGGAAGCTAGATAAAATAACAGTGTGTAATAGTTCGATTTTGCGCTTAAGTATGCGGGAAGAGTGCATGGTAATTCCAGTTTCCAGTGGTATCTCAAACTCATTATATCAATAATCTGGTTATTCCAGCACAGGCGAAGTGATCTGTAGAAAATGGTTCAGAATCATAGAGTTATTATAAATTGGCTCGTTAAAGTATTCATGAATTTTGGAAGGTTTAATAGCTCGCTTAACTGTAATTGAGCTGAAGGAGGCAAGAAGTTCGTTATAGCGTTGAAGATATTTGATTCTGAATGCTTTAATATTGGATTCAATGTGAATGAACCCGAGATAATTTCACGAGCTACCCAGTGTTTACCTTGCCGCATAAAGTTGTTGAATTTGTTGGCAGCGTGTCGATTAAATCTTCGGGGGGCATAGAAATGAGGCGATGCCTCAGTTTGGATGCACAAAGCTGGTTGATGACTAGTACCCGACCACGGTATGAAATTGCTTCGCAAACTGACCACAGTAATGTAGTTTACAGAGAGAGAGAGAGAGAGAAAGAGAGAGTAGCCTTGTCGTATGCCACAATTAAAATTTTAATGAGCCTTACCCAAGGCAATGTATATTGTACTATAATTAATGAAAGTATTCAAGAGATTCTGGTGATGAACACAAACAAACGTGTTTCCTTGATCAATTGATATTATTGGTAACGGAATGTGTTGTTGTTTCGCGTAACACGTATTAAAATTGTTAGAAATATTTTTTCCGGAGAACTAACTTTGATCAATATGTATGATTTCGGCGAGCACAGAGCGAAACGGATAGACAATTTTTTGGTAAAAATGTTGTAGACGGTGCAAAGTAAAAATACAGAACACCAATTTCTAATTAAATTGTAATTGTTCCATCATAGATTACCAGTTCTAACATGGACTTGTTCACACCTTTGTATTGTTCCAGATTGAAAAAGAAGGTAGTTGCTGTGCCACTTTCGTGCAACTGCTTAAATCGTGACCGCACGGTGGCGCCCTGTAACTAGGATTTAATAAGTTTATTGAGCAAGGATTGGTTGTCAGTAATAAGCGATTGAACGTAATTACGAGTGGCGTCATTATTTCGACAGAATGTTTAGCAACTTTTAGATTTTGTGTTCGGGCTTTGCTGTACTGCTGTGAAAGCAATTTATTTGTCAGTTTACCTACGTCACAAGAATTTTGAATGACGCAAACTTACCGTTTTTTAAATGCCACTGCCTCCATAAGAGTTCAATGAGATAATTCTGTTCGTGTAATAATTGAGAGTTGAGGCACCATATCGCACTATGTTAGCGGCGATTTTTAGTTTGACAGGGGAGTGGTCAGAACTAATACCTGTTCCGTTAATAGCGGAAAGTATTTTCGTTGCAAGGTTCTTTGAAATGTAAATACGATCAGAACATCAAAACGTGCAGCCTCTGGTTCGGCCTTGGGTTCGGCGCGACTACGTTGGTCACCTCCAAGAATAGTTGTTCCAAATGTATCTAACGATTTCAAGAAGCGTTTAAACACTTTGAAGTTTTCTCTTCGTTCATTTGGAATAAAATAAGCTTGGAATTAATGAAATTTCTGATATTGTCATTAATACTGGCTTTGATATGCAATGCGTAACCGGATATAGTTTGATTGACCTGTAGGATGCTAACACAGCTTTTTTAATTCTATAGCAACTGTACCAGAGTTCAGTTCCAAGTGAGAGAACTGTATTTCACCCGCCAATTGATATGCCACGTGTGGTCATCTATGTTGGTTGTATGAGTTCCCCGCAAAAACTTAAATGTCAGAAGGAAGTTCAGTTTTCAAAAAGAAAAAGATTATCTCTTGTCCCTTTATGAAGGTGGAGGTAAATGTAATTTAAACAAATAAAAAAAAATATTTGCTTAGCCATCCCTTTCCAGTGATTTTACTGGCCCTAACATACACGAAATGGCCCCAGAAAAGTTATGATATACTCATTAATTTAAATGTTCACATAGAGCAGCATTTGCTATTGTACTACCCATTTTACAACAAATTGACCGTATCAAAATTGACTTTAACTGTCGCCATAGCTCTTTTATGTCGTCAATACCATACAAATACCAAGTATATTTATTATGTCATTAGATTGACACAAGCAGAGCTATTGACCAAAAGCTATGTATTATAGTGATAACGATACCATTTACCTCATTTGTTTGGACCATGCCAGTCACCAGTATGTTTTAATGGGTTTTAGCTTCATGCAAATGAACAGAAATGTATTGTGACTGTATACTTAGAGATAATTAACACTGAGTTATTTAACAAGCAAACTTCAAGAGTGAATGTTCATAACCATTTATAATTAATTGTATAATGAATATGTACAGTACAGTGACGATATTGTACATAATTTAACTTTTGAAGTTGAATTTATGTTAAGTGTGTGTGGGGATATAATCAATAGGTTGCACATTGATTAAAGGGCACAATTTTGGAACTAGTTTGTATTTATTTAAAATAGTCTAAAAATAATGTTAGCACCCACTAATAATAATAGGCTGAGAATCTCATATTTGACTAAGTTGAGAATTTATTGTATTTACAAATCAATATCATCATGATCATTACCATGAAGTACATTGTACAATCTGATTAAATATTTCACAGCTTTCAACGGAATCACCACTATCTGATTTAAGCAACTCTGTATTGAAAATCAATATTATCATAATCATTGTCACGATGAATCATCTTATTTCCAATATTACTCACTGTAATAAAATCAGTCCACAATGACACTGCCTTAAGTAATAATATCTGCTTCAACTGATCATTATAGGTATCTGATTTGGCAGTCATAATTTCAGATTTATTGTAATATTTGCTGTACAACGACCAAATTATAGGTATCTGATTTGGCAGTCATAATTTCAGATTTATTGTAATATTTGCTGTACAACGAACAAATGTTCCTTTGTTTTGTAATCACTTTAGGGTCGAAGGCCTTTAATATTTGTGAATAAAGACCATATATAATAATAAAAAAAAAGATTTGGCAGACATATGTCACTTCACGTGGAACAACGTCAACAAATCAATGCCAGATCTAAACTTTGTCATTTCGGGGTTGGCTCTGAAAAGTTTCTGTCCGACAAAATCATTGTAATTATTAATGTTAACAATAAATCCCTGTTTTAAATCTAATCTGTTAATTTATAAAGTTTATTTTATTAATTTTATTTATATTTGACACGTGCATAATAAATAAAATGACATCTATTTATTATGATAAAAACATGATTTACATCAATATTATAAAATTAAGGTTTAGTGGTATAGTATGTAGGAAAAAAAGAATTGTGCCTTTTAACCTACATCAAAACTTTTACGTTGTCCCTAAGTTGCATAGTTGACATAAATACACTCTTAGTTTTAAATAGATACAACATACTTTAGTTTTTCATACAATGAAATATTAAATACTGACAGAATCAGAATCCATCCACTATTTGGGTAAGAAAATGTTGCTTCTAAAAATGCACATTCAAACATACAATTACCAATACTGTTCCATTAGATATAAATTGAACCTGACTTTTCTTTGATACAGCAAAAAAGTGGTAAATCATTTGTCTCCCCGTTCCCATTACTCCTCAGAGACAGCCTCGTTTTGCCTTGGGCTAGGATATAACAAAACAATAATAAACACATCAATACAAAAGACTCACTCCACGGATCTACATTTGTTGTTGTTGCTTGTATTCATTCTAAATACAAGTAAATGTTTATCAAATATTTGCTTACAAAAAAAAGGTTATAGTCCATGTCTTTGAAAAAGAAAAACATGACTATTATACATTACGAACTAAATAATATTGATATCTTTTATTGTATCATCTCAACCACTTTCCATTTAGTGTAGTCTTAAAAAATAGTATACATATCAGTATGAAGTATTTTTCGCATTTTTTAGTTTTGTTCTGTTTCAACTTATGTCACTGTTATTATAAAAAATGTTTACTATATATATATATATATATATGGAATTTGAACATGAACGATCCAGGTATAAAGAAATGTGATCCATGCTTTATGGATCTGATTCCTGGCATGTCCAGAAATGTGGCTCTTATCGTTCCAGGTATGTTAAGAGTTGTGTCTATGATCGATCCAGGCATCAAGAGTTTTATGGTTCTGGTCGATCCAGTCATCAAGAGAAGTGACTCTAATGACCCAGGCATGTCAAGATATGTAGCTATGATCAATCCAGGCATATCCAGAGTTTGGGCTTTGATCGATCCAGGCATGTCAAAACATGTGGCTCTGATCCAACCAGGCACGTCAAGAGATGTGCTTAGATCAATCCAGTCAACAGTTGTGGCTCTGATCAATCTCGTCAATAAGAGATGTGGCTCTGATCAATCTCGTCAATAAGAGATGTGGCTCTGATCAATCTCGTCAACAAGAGATGTGGCTCTGATCAATCCAGGCATATCAAGAGATGTGGCTCTGATCAATGCTGTCAGCAAGAGATGTGGTTCTAATCAATCCAGGCATACCAAGAGATGTAGCTCTGATCAATCCAGACTTGTCAACAGATGTTGCTTTGATCGATCCATGCATATCAAAAGTTGTGCCTCTGATCAATCCCGTCAACAAGAGATGTGGCTCTGATCAATCCAGGCATTTCAAAAGATCAAGGCATGCCAATACCTGTGATGAAGGATGAGTTATCTTGCTTCTGCCAAGTCAAGACATTCAGTTTCCATCACCACTCTGGATGACCAGAAAACGCTTGCTTAATTTTCAGAAACATATTCTCATAGGTTGCCAACTCGTTGTAATGCCAAACTTTGTACACCTTGGTGATGCGATACCCCACTTCAGCTTTTTTTCAATTCCAGTCTGCACCCAACACCAATCAGCTGACTTGCATTGACACCGTTGTGCTTATTCGTGCTCTCCGTGCATTTGGAAAAAGAGTGGGAACAACAATTAATTGTAGGTATATACAATCTTCTCAGAGGCAAATCGTTACACTTGATAATACCTAATGTCGGGTGCCCAACTGGATATCTCAAGGTATTATTGATGTATGGATAGATGAACCAGTAGTCAACAAATTCTATCTTGTAACATTCCTTGATCTCGAAATACAGACACAGGGCATTGATACGATCACCGGAGAAAGACTCCCTAACTCTGGTGGGGATTGAGATACTTAAATTTCGCTCTCATTTAATACTTTGTGCCGAGATCTAATGGCAGCTCCGCGCGTTTCAGTATGTATCAGGTGTTCGAGTTTTAGTTTTTTCTCGGCGAGTGTTCTGCTCACTGAAGGGTGTGTTTTGCGTTCGTTTTCCATCCTTTGAACTTCGTCACAAAGTATTCGTTTTCCGTTACGAAAATTATTTGCGATGTATGAGATGTATTGTTTAGTCAGTTGTTTGATATTAAGTTTTCCATATCCCACCAATGTTGTAACGATTAAAAGCGTGTTTTTGTCTCCGCCAAGTCAATCAATATTCAGTAAAAATATTGCAATACTCCTGGTCATCAAGAAGTTTTGTGTTAAACGACCAGGTGGTACTGCGGTGAGAAATATTCTCAAGTGACAATGACACAGTAATGAGTGAGTGATCAGCAAAATGATAGTTATTATGTATACGGAACTGTTTGATGCGAGATCAATAAGAGAATGGGAGGTAGGCCAAGTAAAACCGCTGCAGTTATTATTAAAGTTACGCTAGGCATTGATCAACTTAAATCTCTTAATAATATTTAAAAGTAAAGCTGACGGGAAAGTGTGGTTGGCTCTGTCCATGTTAGGATTGACAGTACAGTTGAAGTCACCACCTATACAACTAAATCGTTATTCAAGCTATTTAAAGGTGATTTAATTCTAACAACAATTTTGTGCGATAGTATTGACATAGGTTTTTATTTATAGACCATAAACTGATTCGTATTACAATCCATGTTTCCTGGTTACCCTATGCGAGTAACCATCATGCATGCTGGTTCACAAAAACGTTGTTTTTTACCGTATCTTTCAGAGCGATGTAGAGAGACGTCCGCGAATGGATGCGAGAGACGTCCGCTGATGAGTGAGAGTGACCTCCGCTGATGGATGAGAGAGACGTCTGCGGATGAATAAGGAAGGCGGCCGGGCATTTGAGCGTTTTGAGGGAGGGAGGGATGGATGGATGAGAGAGACGTTCGCAGATGAATGAGAGAGACGTCTGAAGATGAATGAGAAAGACCATAGTCCAAAAGTGTTCTCTTGTTCGGACCATCAAATTCTGCTCAAATACATTGTCAAATTTGACAAGACCAGATAATTTTGTTGCGTGCAGGTTCAAATTCACAAAACAGTTTCACTACCCAATGATTCTATGAATGGTGTATTTAATAGACAATGTCGACGCATTGCTTACTATCAGATCGATACTATGGTAGCGGGTGTCAACAGCCTGCTATGGTACTCAGTTTGCGTTACCTATTTACAGTGGCAATTAACACGAACTACCATGGTTAACGTACATTAAAATAGAATCAAATTTTCGATATGGAAATCGATTGGAAATAAATGTTTCAAGACTAAGTGTTATCCACACAACCCAACATTGGACTAATTTTATATGTAAAATACACGTGACTAATTTAATGAGAGTAAATACAGTTTTTTTCTTAGTAAACAAATAAACTATTACACTCCATTTGTCAAGGTTGCTGCTCACAGAAATAAAGCATTAAATAATCTAAGTGAAATAGTATGCTTCCTATTTTGAATACAATCAACTCCAATCAAACATACAAGTTTAATTTTTTTTTCAAAATTAACATTTTGCAGTTGGCATAGAATTACTACCTCTGAAAGTCGTCAGTGAACATATTAAGTACCTCCGGAAATCACCAGGGCAATCCTGAAAGACACTTGTGCACATAGTTAATATCGCTGGAAGTCACAAAGACAACTAATTATTACCCTAAAACAACCATTTAATTAGTTATTCTAGTGCTGAGTATGACCTCTGAAAGTCACCTTGGGCCATATTTAATATCCATGTATACCACCAAATATTTAGAATACTGAAACTCGCCATGGCATATAATTAATACCTTTTGACACCATGATCAACATTTATAATAATGCAATTCAATTAGAGAGAGTTAAGTTAAAATGGCTTTAAATCCATTTAAATCATCAAACCCTACACCTAATTTACAGATTTGAATTTTTTGAAGATGCAATCAAATATTAAACTATAATATTAAGAAAATGAGGGCCAACAAAACACATAAACCTAATTTATAGATGTGTAAGAAAAATGCAATATATTATTAAACTAAAATATGAGGGTCGTCACTAAAAAGCTTTCATTCATTTTGTGGGGACTGTGGTATAATGAATCTTGTAATCATTACACACGCACCCACACTAAATTAGTACGTGAATATACACATAGAAATTAATGGGCATAAAAGTAGTACCCCTGTAACCAGGTCATGGAATTAATACCCCTGACATCATGTTACAAAATAATGCCCATGTAAGTCACCAGGGCAGACAATTAGTACCATGAATTTAGACAAGGCACATATTTAGTCCCCTTGTAAATCACTTGGGCATATAAGTAACTCCCGTGGATGTACCCAGAGTACATAATCACTACTTCTGTAAATCCCCAGAAGCTCTTATTAATATCCCTGCATAACAAACTTATGAGATGCAATCTGATGCTATATTACACATTGTACATTGATACATGCTCGATTAAGTTCATGTTGAGTTTTTTTTTATCTTACGCATCATACAAACCAAATCAACACACTGTTTACGACGTATGCCATGTATGCCTATTATTATTCACCATTACTATATTATATTATTTATGTTTTCTAGAAATTGGTTAAAAGGCGAACAGGTAAGTATAATTACTAAATATTGAATAGTTCAGCAATGTTTGATTCAAAGAACAATAATGACTGCATGACGGTTGTGAAGTTATGCTGTCAAGGTTTGAGACAATGGCACTATAATATGAGATTATGAGAATACCATAAAGTATGCACAAAGACAGTACAGCGGGAGTGTCGACCGACGCGCAGGAGAGATCGATGCGACGGCGTACTTGTCTGAATGCATACTTTACGGTATCTCGTAATAACCTTAATACCGAAATACAAAAAAAAGTTTAGAACAGTATCAGCGAACTTCTTTGTGTGGAGTCTGGTCTAACCCATGTTTATTTGTTTTGTTTATGCGCGTAAGCATTTCATATTGTGAATTCGCATTTCCTAATATAGTAGGATAAAAATTACGGCACGCTGTAACTTATGGCGTTACGGTGACAGATGTATGATAATGTAACATATTGACGGATATTTTTCAAAGTTTAACATAATCACTAAATATAGAAAGGATTAATGGCTTCAGTGTGTTGTACCAGATGAGGGATTTAACTCTAAAGAAGATGTGCCTTGGTCCACATTGTCAACATTGTAATTCATGAAAATGCTTTGCATCAAACTGGACTTCTTCTTTTGTGATGATATAGCTTTCTCCAAACATATGCATGTCTTCCATAGTTTTCCAATGTAAATCCGTTGGTTTCTTCTGCTTAGCCTCTCTGCTGCTGTCCTTGCTTTCCCTGTAGACTCATTTCTGGGTTATTTGTAGGTACAGTCAGAGGTGAACGCTCTATCGTGGGTGGAATTAATTTGCAACTTATGTCATTGTCACTTTCTTCAGCGTCTGTTCAGTCTTTCCAATTTGGCAATAAATAGTTATTCTTAAGGCCGTAGTTAGTGACCTGAGTACAAGCCATAGTGATGATAAACTCACATGGAACACTGTTGAATACGAGCCCAAGAAACCGGCCAGCTTTCAAATCAGCAACCTCTTTGACTGATTTCTAGACATTTGGGGTACACAACACATCGCATTTTCAGATATATGTTTGTGTAGTGAGTGTAAAATGGTAAAATTCTACCATTGATTGTGGGCTGTTATCAGTTTATATAATATGAAAATAATTAAATATATTATTATATATCTTGTGTACAAAACATAATTCATTTTAATGGTATTACCCAGGTGGCTTGTGACCCTCATTATGGTCTCAAACCAATTACTGCATTGCTCGTGATGACAACTGACCCTTAACATTAGGCAGTATGTTTCGGATACTATTTTGCCTTCTCCTGAATCCAGTTTATTGAAATATTTTTTTCTGAGTGGATTTTTTAGTTCACTTCGTCATATATATTTTTTTTAAAGAATGCCATGTTGTTACAGTCAGCATCTGTCAAAGTCTAACATAATTGTACACTCTTGATAACCACAAGCAGTTAATGAGCATCCAGGTAAAACCACAATGAATTGTTTGCCTCATCCCATTGCTGGTAGGCATGCAATTCATAGCTGAATT